TTTGTTATTCGTCACACCTGCCTTTTCCCCAGTACCCCCCACCCCCACGCCCATTCTTACTACCTGTGGTGTTTATCGGCAACCATGTAACCATGTCATCCTAGATTCAGAATATGATTCCATTTTTGAGGAGCCAGTCTGTGAGGCGAAACGCATGAGGGGCCGGGGGCTAGGCCCCTTGTGATGCACCGCTGGGCTCTGGGCTGGGGTAGGGGTGGGAAACCAGGCATGCGGGGTTTGATGATGATCAGCACGTTATTACACGCCCCGTGCATATTCTGCACCTAGCAGCACGCTAACATATTCAGGAACAAGCTCATTTAAACCTTATGGGGAAAGGTACGACACCATACCCATTTTACAGAAAGAGAAACTCAGTCCCCCAAACAGGACATGACCTGCCCAAGGCCCCCGGGTTATTGAACAGCCTTTCCTCTCTGGCCTGGAAAGGGCAAGACATTTTAGAAGCAGAGAGACGACGGGCAGGAGGCCATGGTAATGATTTGGTGACCTGAACGGCAGCTGTGGCTGTGGGGATGACATTTCCTGAGGGCTCACTGCGTTGTGTGCCTGGCTTCAGGCTGACCCTGTTTCACTGAATCCTCATCCAGGTACGTTATTATCCTCCTTTTAAAAAAAAAAATTTTTAATAGTTTATTTTTGAGACAGAGAGAGACAGAGCATGAGCGGGGGAGGGGCAGAGAGAGAGGGAGACAGAATCTGAAGCAGGCTCTAGGCTCTGAGCTGTCAGCACAGAGCCTGATGTGTGGCTCGAACCCATGAACCATGAGATCTGACCTGAGCCAAAGCCAGACGCTTAACCAGCTGAGCCACCCAGGCACCCCGTTATTATCCTCTTTTGACAGGTAAGAGTGTGGACAAGGTTTGCAGAGGCTAAAAACGCCCCAAGTCCGGCCACCACTGGAGGCCCAGAGGGGATTTGGGGCCGGAGGCCGCTCACTGTGCCAATGATCCAGGGGCCACCGAGGCCCTGGCAGCCGTGGGAGGCGGGACGTGGCGCATGGGATACAGGAAAGAGGTAGAAGCTGGGTTTCCAATTCCAGGCAGAGGAGTGGGGGTGTTGCCACTCGCCAAGATGAGGAACAGCAGACGAGAAAGTGTTTTTTTAGAAGAAAATTGAATTTGATTCTGGAAATGGCTGTCTTGTCCTGGGGACAATGTTTCCCTGTCCAGTTAGCCTTTGCAGTACATAATGTGGAGGCTGAGACATTCATCTCATCTTAAAAATGGTTTCTTTGGTGACTGTCATCACAAAAGTGGTCATTAAGGCTATTGGTACTGATGTTTCCTGAGGACAGAAGGGAGCAGAGGTGACTGTCTGGGGCCTAAGAAACATCGATATTTAAATTATCTTGCTGAAGGTGAAGGCTGCTTTCTGTTCACTGGTGCTCGGCACAGGCTGTGGTCCCTACTTGGCAAATGTCCTTGGGATGGATGAATGCTCAACGGGAAGGTTCATCGTACAGAGGGTTGCCGAGTGCTGTATGTCAGCAGATATTTATATCCACCAGGTCCTGGGCCAGGTGACAAGAACACAGTGGCCAACGAGATGCCGTTCCTGTCCTCAGAATCTTGTTCTCTTGTCTGACAAACACTGGAGATCAGGAGAGTACAGGACTACATGACAAATACAGTACAATTTCATTTAAATGGCTTTTCAAAATCGGTGACAGCTAAAATATGTGCTTAGGGACACAATGATCCAGTTTGGTAGTTTTAAAAAAAGCAAATCCAGAGAGTCTTTCAAAGATGTTATAAGAGATGAAATCATCTAATTTCTTCCTGAAAGCTTGGAAGAACAGTTTCAAGGCCCAGGGAGAGACTTTTTCTACAGCATGGGAGTAAGCCATGCCTTGTGCTTGCTCTTCAATGTCTAAAATGCATCCCATATGGCCTACCTGGAGGCAGAGCTGCAGTGAAAGCCAGATGGTTAGCAGTTCTATACAGATGGTGGCTTTTGCCTGAGAAGACGAAGGTGAAGTGTGCATAAATCCTGAAAGTCTTACCTGTTTCACAGCGAAGCCCAGACACAGAGCCCCTCTGAGAAAGCCATCAGCAGGAAGTAAGATATACCTGCCAGCCAGTCAATCACTCATGGCTCGATCCATGTTCTCGGCCTTAACACCCATTCTGTCCTCTTCACTCTTATCTCATGGCCAGGGCTGTGCCCCCAAGCCCATTTCTTTCCAATGTCCTTGTCCCATTGGGTATGGTCCCTTTCCAAGTCCATTTTCAGCCTCGTTCTCATTCGAGTCTACTCAACCTGCACTTTTCTCTACTTACTCTCAGTCTCCTCCCCTCCTGTGTTCCCAGGGAAGACCGGTCTGTGCTGATACTTTTTCTTGCGCACCTCTCCCTCCTTTAGCAACTTGTATGTAGCGCGGCTTTCGCGTGCACAGCGAGGTGCGCTTTCACAATTACCGGTGGGCCTCAGCTTGCGTCTTTTTCTGTGACTGTGATGGCTGTTGGGTTGCATTCTTGGCATTTCTGTTTCTGGCCAGTGGGGCTTACAATGTATTATCTATTGAGGGCCTCTGGGTGATCGTTTCCTCTTGGATAGAAAAAGTGACTCTGGAGCTAGAAACCCACCCCACCAGCCCTTTCTTCCTGGCTTGGACTGATGACCCTTGGAGTTGTGTCGCCATCTTGTCAGTAGGAATCAGGGAGCCGTCCACACACAGCTGACACACTTTGCTGCTCAAACATCCCTAAACCCCATCTGGACTCAGGACTGATGTTGTGGGAGAAAAACAATCCCCTTACTTATCAAACCCCTTCTGATCTGATATTGTTACCATTGACTAGAAGCATTCCAACAGATGGAGTATGGGGATACTGAGGTATAGAGAGGTTGGCAAGTCTTGTGAGAGAAACCGTGTCCACACGGTTCACAATCTGAGAGGCTGGATTCAAAACTGGTCTATCTTCAGAGGCACCGGAGCTCTGGAAACAAGCACCTCACGTGACCAAATGCCTCCTTGGCTGCGAATGACCCTCCTTTTGAAAACACTGCCCTCCCCCAGGCTGGATGAATCCCTCTTCTTTTTAAATTATTTTAAAACAATTTTATTGAGCTACATTTTACAAAGCTGTACACATTTATTTTTAAGTTTATTTATTTATTTTAAGAGAGAGGCAGAGAGCATGAGCAGGGGAGGGGCAGAGAGAGAGAGAGAGAGGGACAGAGAATCCCAAGCAGGCTTTCCACTGTCAGCACAGAGCCGGACACAGGGCTCAAACACAAACCGTGAGAAATCATGACCTAAGCCAAACTTGGATGCTTAACCAACTGAGCCACCGAGGAGTGCTGCGCGCCAACCCCCCGCCAAAATTACTTTTTAAAGACAAGTATCAGAACACAACAATGAAAGATAACTTGCTATTATTCGTGTTCAATCAACTTTATCTACATAAGGGTTTTGTTTTGTTTTTTAATCTACATGGGTCCTTTAGGATTTATCTAAAGGAAACATTCTCAGAACATCTGGGCCGCTCAGTCGGTTAAGCATCTGATTTCAGCTCAGGTCAAGGTCTCACAGTTTGTGGGTTTAAGCCCTGCGTTGGGCTCTGTGCTGGCAGCTCAGAGCATGGAGTCTGCTTTGGATTCTGTGTCTCCCTCTCTCTCTGCCCCTCCCCTGCTCGTGCTCTGTCTCTCTCAAAAATAAACATTTAAAAAAATTTAAAGGAAACATCCAATCTGTACATATGTGTATATGTGTGTATAGTCACTAATGGTAAAGAAATAATGGAAATAAAAATCCATGGAAGGAAAAAGGGAATTTAGCTAGTAAGATCTTTTCTAGAAGATGTTAGAAATCATTATTCCAAGAATCCTCATATATATGTTGTATGTATGTACAGTATATGTACAGTATATTATATATATACTGTATACAGTATATATATATATATATACACACACACACACACATATAAGAGCTCTACAATGACATGATAGGATTTTATGAAATTATAAAAAAATCAATATTACCTGGCAAGTACTATCTCTTGCATGTGGAACACAAACTACTAAGGTTATGTGAACAAGAAATCCCTGATGTCTATTATAGAAAGCTTTTAATAGAACTTGCCATGACAGTTTATTCCTAAATCTTCCTTCTGCCCCCCCTCCCCCCAGCTCAATACAATATCGCTACTTAATTTCATGACTGCGCAAAGCTGTTTTAGGCACTACTTGGGGAATAAGTATTAAGAGTTCAAGTAAATGCAAATATTTTTGCTACCCTGTCTCAACAGATTTCCATGAGAAGACAGATTACAATAATAAACTATCATCCGTATATAGTTTCCACAGTTTTATGTAACTTGGAATCTGTTGTAGTACATGAGGGAAAGGGTCCTAGTGTTATTATTCAGGCTGCCTTCTCCTTTTAGCAGCCCCCTATTTACACCCCCAATGAAAACGACACATGGGAAGCAGAGTGTTGGGTGGCACTGCGGGCCTTGAGGGAGCCGTGGGGGCAGGAAGTCGGAGCGAGCAGTGAACGTCATCCCGCGAAGCACTTACTGTTGAGCGCAGAGCTGCGTCCTGCAGCCCATTATGGTTCACGTCGGTTTTCCAGTCTCCTCCAGGGAAAATTCTCTGCCTGGAACAATCTGGACAGGCTTTGCCACCCTGGACCTGGTACCATCGAGAGAAGGGCTCTGCAAAGCTGGGCTCAAGCCCCATGGCTGCCAGCTCACACTGGGCTGTTGGCCAGGAAAGGCGGACAAAGCGGCGGATGGTGCCGCACTGCCATGGGCTGAGCTGCTGCAAACCTCTCACCCGTGAAAAACCCATTTTCTAAGAAAGAGAGGAGAGTGTTAAGGAGCACGGGCTGGGCAGTCAGACTGCTTGCATCTCGATCCTTCCTTCCCCACTGGTGAGCTCTGTGATCGTGGCCAAGTGTCCCCACCTCTCTGAGCCAAAGCACTTCAAATGTACTTAGCACATAAAAAAACATTCAACACCGTAGCACTTACAATCACGGAGCATTTTATTGTTTTCCATAGTAGAAGGCACTTATTTTATCACGTGTGTTTTTTTCTTTTAAAGAAAAAGCAATCATAAGTGAATGCCTTGGTAATTATCTATTATCAGATTGAGACACACTCATCTATGAAATCATTTCCTAACTTCTTCTGAACAAACCACCACTAGGGAATATTGCTGGTTACTTAAAAACCGGTTAGAATTTCATAGGATTCCCTCTGTTTAGTATATACCCTGCTGTATTTTGAATCAATTCTTTTATATATTAGGATTTTTGGGGAAGGAGACTTAGAAGGTTCATTTCCATTACTTTTAATGTAATCCATATCCTCCCCCAAATAAAATAAAAAGGTACATCTTTTACTGAACTCCTGTCCCTGACCTCAATCCACACCTGTTGTAAAAGAAAATGGTTCACAAATCAAGGCTGCAGCAAAATGCTAAAACAAGAGCATTCTAATTTTGAAAACTTCTAATTTTCTGGTGCCACATAGCAATGAGCTATGTGCAGGGCGGATCTGTGGTATAACTGATTTCTTGTCTTTTCTTCCTGATGAATTTACATATCCATTATCTTCCTGTTTAACTTCTCATGGTTTTGCCACAGTGACTAAAACTTTGTAACAAGAAAGTCTTGTGATTTAATGGACTCCGCAGCTCCTCTGTACGGATATGCCAGCATGCTACTCCGTGGCGCTGTGAAATATTCCTGAGTATTTCACTGAGTACCCAGGCTCCCTGTCCGCCGGGGCGATGGACGAAATCACGTCACGGTCAGTGGCCACAGAGAAGCAGCAGCAAAGGAGATCGCCTAAAAATGACCCTGATTTCAAGCCACCCATGCTCCTTTGTCAAGGGATATGGGCGCATTTCCTCAAAGCGGGTGCTGATTTAGATGACGGCGCCAAAAGCTCGATTCTGCCCCACCAGAGCTCCTGCTTTGCTTCCTTCGAGAACCTTGCAGCGATTCCCACTTGTTCTGTCAGAGTAGACACAGCAAAGAGTCCCCTAAGCGTAGGGCCATTCTCATCCCACGAGGATGCCCGTCTGCGGAGTCACCGCACTGTGAACGTGCCCAGAGCGTGGGGCTTCAGGTCTAGTCTCTGCAATGAGGTATTTACAGGTGGCCAGTTCGCATGCCAAGGAGGATTTTCTCATCACCCAGAGGGCAAGTTCAACTTTGACTTGTACCGACTGCATTGTCAACAGTGCCCAAAGTCTCCAAATTTAGTAGCAGATGTGGTTGATCCTTGAAAAGCCAGCCTGTGTAGCTCTAATGGGATACAGTCACATGCTTTGTTAGGAAAGCCTAACGTTTTGCCTAGCGCTTTGGGAGTCGTGATCACAATTTAATATAATCGGATTTGGTCTGTTTGCGGAATTTTCAAAGACCACACTTAGGTATCAAGGTGGGATGGAGGCTGACAGGTAGACATTTATCATATGCTACCCGAAGACACTAATTCAGGAGCAGAATGAGGGACACAGCACTCGGAGAATGTACTCAAGCATCCATGCAGAGAGATACTAGTATCATTTATTCTTTAATTTTCAAGTTCCCCCAACTCCTCTCTTTTTTAAAGGGAGGGCAGCTTTCCTGTGAATATAATTTCGGATAGGAGGAGAGGACCCAGCCCTCTGATTTATGGAAAAGGACATAAATCCACAGATGGGCCTGGAGTACTTTTACATTTCAACAAGGGGTGGGGACGCAGCTGCCGCTTCTGGAAAAGCAAACAGCCAAGGGAAGTGAAACAGATCAGCAGCGACCATCACTTTTCCTGCATCAGGCCCAGGAGATCATCTTCTATCCCCTTCTCACTCAGCTCGTCCAGGCTGTAGTACCGGTGAACGATTTTCTCGGCGGTGACCACGACGACTCGGAGCCCATGGGTGTCCTGGCCCAGCTGGCATCCGATGGCGGACGATACCACCATGTCCAGGCTCTGGTAGGTGCCCCCGGCATTCCGGTGGTAGTGGCCTGAGAACACTGCTGTGACACCTGTGGGGGAGGGAGCGAGACATTAGGGGGCCAAGGATTTCCCTGTTGGGGTCTTGGGGTGCTCTCCCGTTTTCTTCTGGGAACAATACTGACTGTTATTAAATTAAATGCATACTATTACTCAGCGCCTAAGAAATGAGAAGGCAGCATGTGTGACATCCAGAATCCTTCCAGGGAATAATTCATCGATATAACATATTAGTAACACATTTGTCACAGACACTGCAAGAAAGTGCCAGGGAACAGAAGCGAGAAGGAAGATAAAGGGCGTGACTTTGGGAGAGGCACAGGAAGTGGAAGGAAATATTCTGAGGCCTGTATCTGCAGCCAGAGGATGCAAGTTAAATGTCTACGAAAAATTACGTTTATGGAGTTCTAATCAAGATAGCACAGCATACTCACCATTTAATGTACCTTCTCCGCCCCACACTCAAGAGCCATGGTGGATAAAATAGGAAAAAAGAAAACCAAAGGACAGAAGTCGCCTCAGCATCAAGATAGAGAGCCGTGTGGATGAGAAACAAGACAGAAAGGCAGAGGAATGAGAATGAGCGGGGTTGCAGGTTGGCGGGAGTGTAGCACCTGGAGGGGAGCAGAGACTGAAAGCAGCTTCTGTGACATGAGCAAATCAATTCCCACCCCTATTTGGAGCAAGGGTGGCGTGACGGCCTCTGTTTCTGGAAGGAGGCTGCAGAAAACCATCGCTGTCTGGGGCCCAGCCAGTGGTGTCTTTAACAAGTTCTCCAGAGAATAATGGAGAACCGGTTTGCAATGTTTACGCCTTTCCGTGGGGCGGATGTTCACGTCGTGGCTGACTGCAAATCACCAGCGATGTCACTGACCCAGGCGTGGGAGGAGATGTGGCGAGCACGCCGGTCTGGCACCCCCACCGCAGATACAGAACCTGTGAGCCACCTCGCGGCACCGTCAGAGAAACATGCAGCAAGGTAATTAGAAAACAGTTTCCAGTATTTATTGCCTTTGCTTGTCAACATAATTTATTCATTGGCGAGTCTGGAGAATTTAATTTTTAATAATCGTTTGACAACGAGCTCACAAAGTTCCTTACAATTTAATCATTGGCTTTCGTGAGCTGGGCAGGAGGAACTGTCTGCAGCACGCCACTGGGCTGGGGCTTGCGGCGATCCACGGGTCTGGGAAGGAAGGACAGACACTGGTTCAAGTCTAGGAAGGCAGACAGGTTTTCTCAGTGTCATGGAGCACAAGGGCCTTCCAGCTCCTCTCTAAGTCCTGGTCCCAGATGGGGCTGGGCTGGAGGAGCCCAAACTACTAGGCAGGGAGAAGCTATTCAAGAGAGAAGTGAAAGGGGGCACCTGGGTGGCTCAGTCGGTTGAACGTCCGACTTCGGCTCAGGTCATGATCTCACGGTTCATGGGTTCGAGCCCCGCATCGGGCTCTGTGCTGACAGCTCAGACCCTGGAGCCTGCTTCAGATTCTGTATCTCCCTCTNGTCTCCCTCTCTCTCTCTGCTCCTCCCCCACTCATGCTCCGTTTGTCTCTGTCTCAATAATAAATATACATAAATTTTTTTTTTTTAGAAAAGGGAGAGAAAGTGAAGGAAAAACCCAAGCAAAAAAACAAAAACAAAAAACTACAAAAACAAAAAACGTCTTACTCGGGGCGCCTAGGTGGCTCAGTTGGTTAAGTGTCCGACTTTGGCTCAGGTCATGATCTCACGGTTCGTAGCTTTGAGCCCGGCGTCAGGCTCTGTGCTGACATCTCAGACCCTGGAGCCTGCTTCAGATTCTGTATCTCCCTCTGTCTCTGACCCTCCCCTGCTCAAGCTGTCTCTCTCTCTCTCCCTCAGAAATAAATAAAACATTTAAAAAAAAACAAAAAATAAGTCTTACTCAAATTGAATCTGAAATAAAATCCCACCACCTGTGAAGAAATCTCATGCTAATTAAGACAGTCTACAGACTTCTCAATCAGGAATATGAATTCACTCAGATGAAATGAATGATATAAAACTGCCTCACAAATACTCAAAATGAATATGGTTAGAGCATCAAAAGGTCCTCAATAAGGGACTAAGATCTATAAAAAAAACAAAACAAACATGTTATGAAACAAAACAGCCATGAATTAAATGAGAATAATTGGTAATGAAAGCTCAGAAATAGTGGCCATAAAAGACAAGCCATTAAAATATAAGCCAAAGACAACTCTCAATAAATGGGATAAATTCTAGACTGGACACTGTTCAGAGAGGAAATCAGTGAATTAAAAGACAGCATGCAGGCAACGAACTGAAGTCAACACAGAGACCCAGACACAAGCAATAAGAACATGCGGTTCAAAGAACCCAAAGAATGGATGAAGAGGTATTAATGGATGCTTCAGAGGAGCCGGAACAGGAGAAAGGAGGAAATAATAGTAACAATAACTTACAAAGGAATGACAGGCAGCAGGCACCCCTCATAATAACAGAATCAAAGAGTAATACCTTCCAACGCTGAGGGCGAGCAATACGAACCTCAAATTTTACATCCAGCTAAACCATCATTCAAGTTGAAGGGCAAAAGAAATACCTCTGGAGGCATATGAAGACTAAGAGTTTACCACTTCCAAACCTTCACTGAAAGAATTAATAGGAGATCTGTTTCTTTTTTTTTTCTTTTATAGTTTATTGTCAAGTTGGTTTCCATATAACACTCAGTGCTCATACCAACAAGTGCCCTCCTCCATGCCCATCTCCCCCCTTCCTCTCTCTCCCTCCCCCATCAGCCCTCAGTTTGTTCTCAGTATTCAAGAGTCTGTCGTGGTTTGCCTCCCTCCCTATCCCCAACTATTTTTTTCCCCATCCCCTCCCCCACGGTCCTCTGTTAAGTTTCTCCTGTTCCACTTATGAGTGAAAACATGTGGTATGTTTTCTCTGCCTGACTTATTTCACTCAGCATAACACCTTCAAATTCCATTCATGTTGCTACACATGGCCAGACTTCATTCTTTCTCATTGCCATGTAGTATTCCATTGTATAGATAAACCACATCTTCTTGATCCATCTGTCAGTTGATGGACACTTAGGCTGTTTCCATGTTTTGGCTATTGTGGAGAGTGCTGCTATGAACACTGGGGTCCATGTGCCCCTATGCACCAGCACTCCTATATCCCTTGGGTAAATTCCTAGCAGCGCTAGTGCTGAGTCATAGGGGAGTTCTGTTGTTAATTTTTTGAGGAACCTCCACACTGTTTTCCAGAGGGGCTGCACCAGTTTACATTCCCCCCAACAGTGTAGGAGGGTGCCCGTTTCTCCACACCCTCGCCAGCATCTACAGTCTAGATCTGTTTCAGCAAGGAGGGGATGAAATGTTAAAAAACAGTGATGAGCAAACATTGATAAAAGTATTTTTAAATTGAATTAACTACTGATTTCCCTTGAAAAACTATTTTTTAATGTGAAAGTGAAACTAAAAGTCAAGAATGTCAAGATGGAAACTTCAACGGATAATTAAATGCATAAAAGCTATTGTCATGTTTGGATGGAATATGAAAATAACAAATAACTTAAGATTTTGCTAGCAAAAATGCACAATTAACATGCCTCTTAAAAATGGCACAAGCAGGGCGCCCGGGTGGCTCAGTCGGTTAAGTGTCCAGCTTTGGCTCAGGTCATGATCTCACAGCTTGTGAGTTCAAGCTCCACGTCGGGCTCTGTGCTGACAGCTCAGAGCCTGGACGCTGCTTCAGATTCTGTGTCTCCCTCTCTCTCTGCCCACCCCCACCTCCCCGTTTGTGCTCTGTCTCTCTCTCTCTCAAAAATAAATATGTTTTAAAAACCCAGTGAATTTATACTTCAAAAGGGTAAATTTTATGTATATGAATTACATAGCTCAATAAAAAATGGAAAAAAAAAGTGTGGGAAGGGGAGAAAGCTAAAACTAACCATGTGGTAGTGAACTGGAGGTGGAGACATTAATATGAACTCGTGTTTACCGTAATGTCAGATATTAAAAACAGATGAGGACACACAGAAACATTTATAGAGGTGTACAGACACAGGTGAGTATGCAGATATGTATTTCCCAGCCTAGATCTAGTGTCCAGATCTTGGTTTCTAATACCATTCCCCGGTAACAGGAGATATAGATCCTTGGAGAAATGACTGACTGTAGGGCTGGAGCAGAAAATACACAAAATGAGCCTGGAGCACCTTGTTGGGCCAGAAAGTAAGGAAGTGCTTAAAAGCTCATAATAATGGGGGAGGGGGGTGTCAGAAGGACACAGGGATCAACTGAAAGAGCTCCCCACAGCCAAAGCTTAACAACTTGAGCAACAACTAGCGCTGCATTATAACCCAAAGTATAAGAAGTAAATCCATGAGTCCATATTGATATAAATAAATATGTAAATGTGGGGAAAAAAAGACAAATCTCCCATAGAGAATAACAGATCATTTGCTCGGATATACCGCCCTCCAGGAGGTGGAACATAACTCCCCACCCATAGGTGTGGACTGTGCATGGGGACTTCCTCCCAAGAGTAACTTTACAGTGGAGAGACTGGCCAAACATCAACAGGTATGACAGTCAGGTTGATTGCATGTACTCCTTGATGTGCCTTGATGACGGTGATGAAAATAGCACTTATACCTGCATGATCTTCCTCCCCCCAAACCCAGAACTCCAGCACAAGAAAACCATCAGACCTACCCCAACAGACAGACCTTCTACAAAATACCTGACCAGCACTTCTCAAAATGGTCAAGGTCATCAAAAACAAGTGTGAGAAACTGTCACAGCCAGCAGGTGACTAAGGAGGTGTGACACCTAAGTGAGGCGTGCTATGCTAGATGGGATCCTGCAGCAGAAAAAGTGCATTAGGTAAAAAGTGAGGAACCTGATCATGGACTTCATTAATAAAAGTGTGATCAGTATCAGGTCATTAATTGTAGCAAATGTGATACTGTTTTAAGATATAAATAACGGGGAACTCAAGGTGCAGGGCATATGGGAAGTCTCTGTATTATCTTTGTAAT